TAATACAGGATTTGAAATGAGGAAAGAACCACTAAAAGATGGATAAGCAGTCTAAGGAAATTGTGCATGGAATCTAAGGATAATAGAAAGAAAGAATGATCAAGTATGATGATCTAGTGAACAAACATGTAATGCTGGAAAAAGAGTTGGTGACTCTGAAAAAGGCTTGTGAAGGTAGGAGACGTGCTGGCAAGGAATCAATAACTTCTTTAAAAAAAGAGAAGGATCACAACAAAATGAGACTAGAAGTTGCAAAAAAAATAAAATTAACCAATCTCATTATTGAAAAAACAAAAAAGCTTAAGAGCTCAATACAAGGCTGAGATGATGATGAAAGAAGCAAAAAGGGCAGGGAATACTAGAATATAGTAAATGCTTTGAAAGATTAGGTCTCTACAATCTAGTATGAGCAAGTTGATTTGGATAAAGCAAAGGTTATCAAAAATAGCCTAAATCAGAGAAAAAAGTAAAAACATTTCTTGGGCATTTTAATTACGTAGATCGATTCATATCTTAGCTAACAGTAATATGCAAGGCAATTTTCCATTTACTCTAAATAAAAAAATATGAGAATATGGAACAATAATCACAGGAAACCTTTGCTGTAAGAAACTACCAAGCTTCGCCTATGAATGTCTACCATAGTTAAAATGTTGACCAACAAAAATGATATTAAAGATATTCAAATTTCATAACCAGGGCTTCTTTTTTATCTGATGGATATTATACTACGATATAAGCACCCATACTAGAGGATATAGACCAAATTTTCCAGTATTTTTTATTTGGTAATCCTTGTTCTATAAACCTTAGAAAAAAAGAAAAGCAAATTTTTATTTCTAATTAAATGAGTCTAGATAATAACTGCTACAGATATATAAATATATTGATTGGATCATTCTGGTGTTGTGTGGTCAAACGAAAGGTTTTTTTGATTCCATAGGAACAATCCTTTTAACACGATGTTGAATTTAGTAAAAGATGTTGTTTGTTTAAATTAATTTTAACTTGTTATTGTGTGAAATACATGTGTATTGTGGTTTAGTATAAATTGGTTGATTGATCCATTGCAAAATAAAAAAAGAGGAGTATGAAATGGACATGAATCAATAGGAAACTACGAATACTAAAAGCTTAAACCGTTTTATCTCATGTGTTGCAGTATAAATTTAAAAATAGCATGGTATTATTCTGTAGAATTCTATCAAATTCAACATCTTTCTTCATGCGAGGATGTTTATTTTGTTGTCTCTTCATGCTTTGGTGGAGGGACAAAATAGAAAAGGTTTGGTCTCGGGGCAGAGCCAAGAATTTTTCCTATTCTGGACTATGATATCAATGCATATAAATTATTTTTTAAAATCAATCATTCACTCATATATATAAATTTATCAAGTTAACAATAAAGTTTTAATTGCATTTAAGATGTAAAGAGATTTTTGCTGCAAAGCTCAACAAAGTAAATCAGCAATCCCTATTATTTTATGCATCAAATAAAAGATGAATATAAATTCAAAAGATTTCATCACAATCAAACAACCACTAGCTTCTCCACATATAGAGCTAAAAGATCCTTCTTGAACCATACTTTTAAATATAGTAATAGTTACATCATAAATATCTACTAAGTTGTAAATAAAATCAAAATGAGAGCTCAATGAGTAGTTCTATTTCGATGTAAATTACATATTTGATTAACCTTTTTACCAGCCTCACGTTCTTTAGTAGCTACCATATGTGTAATTTCTATAACTTGAGCATAATGTGACTCGATATGATGTTTTGAAAAAGCACTAATTAGATTGATAATGATTGTTATTTTTGAAAAAAATAGCTAAATAGAAATTTCATTTCCAGCTACTGCAAATAATGTTAATTGTAGTCCGTGAGCAAAGCAATGTATATAATATATATAAGAACAATCTCTTATAAATAAAATGAGTTATTAAGTTTTTATAATTTTTTTAATAAATGTGTCTATTTTTGTTTCAAGGTATTATCACTAGTGCTTGACTATAGAGACTCTGTACGGTAAGTTAACATGTAAACTTTTGTAAAAATAACAAAAAGTACTTTATTATGTTTTTTTTTATTGCTAAAACACACATAATTTATTTTGTTTGATTGTTTAGTACCTTGTGTTTTGCCAGAAAATATGAATCATATTATATTAGAAATGTTTTCTTTTTGGAATAGCTTCTATTCTTTATATTTGTTATTTTGTAATTGTGTACTCTAATTTTAATAAGTTAAATATTTTATACGTGAAAATAAGAGAAATAAATCTAACACATTAAAGCAAAAAAAAATTGACTGAATTCTTGGAATACAAAAACCACTAATAGTTATTACATTTAACCAAAAATCTAACACAAGAAGCAAGATCCATATTCCATGCTTTGTTAATTGCCCACCTCACCCTTGGCCTGGTCAGAGCATCAAGATCTGCCTGCAAAACAAAAACTACTAGATAGCAGACAAGAGCAAGCTTCATGGCAGGTCAAATCCCCCAACGTGTCATGAACTGCAAATTATAGCAGACAAGAGCAAGCTTCATGGTAGGTCAAATCCCCCAACGTGTCATGAACTGCAAATTAATGAAAGCTTTTAAATTAATGATTGAATTGTGGATGACCATTATTTGAATTTGTTGAACAGAGGGAAAATTATCTTACTGTGGATGATTAGGGTTGTGTCAAAATCAAGCTGGTGACCTGGCAGTATGAAAGTGAAAACTATTAAGTATAGGCTTGACTCTTTTCCATCATGAACATAAATTCTTGTTTCTGTCCGTCAAAATGGATGCACACCATACCCAAAAGTGTACAGCTTCCTAGTTTCCCTCAATGCACGGCACAGTCAAGCTTTCTAGGCATGACATCCTAACGAGGCTGTACAATTAATGTAACAATGTTCCCTTCTCCGATAAATGACTCACAGCATGCATGACTCCTTGCACGCCATCCACCAAGGCTACCGACGTTCTGATGAGCTATGCAAATGGCATGCAGGGAGCCAGGCACACAGGGATCTAACACAGGCACATATTTTAGTCTGAACTGATACATGAAGCTTTTTGGAGATCAAACGGAGCTCAATTAGTTCCTGTTAGACAAGAAAAACAGTGCATTTGTATTAATATATCTAAGCATTATATGCTGCAACTTCAAAAGTTCAAACCAGAATAGATATGTTAAATTTCATAAATATTGTTCACCACCTTGAAATAATGAGGCATGAAAGTGCCTGCTGTTTGGAAGCACCATGACACAAGGAGCAAAAGCATTGCAACAGGAAAGCATGGATAAATAGATCCCTTCTTGCCAAAATGGGACAATCAAGTTGGTTTCTAAGGGATTGTCCACACCATACCTCCCTTTCTTCATTGTTTAAAACCAACTAGCTGTTGAGAAGGATTTTTGGCAAACAGAGAAAAAAACTACAGAGAAACACTTTACCTGAAAGGCTCTTTCTTTCTATATTTTGTCTGTAAATATGGTGAAGGCTACAGAGATATGCGTGTGAGCCTAAAAGTGTATCATAGAAGATTTAAGGAGATAGAAAGGGAAATACACGAGGTTGGCAATTGGCAATTTTTCCTCTCTCTCTGTGACTTATCCTCTGGATTAGAACAGAATGGTCTTCGAATAATTCATTGTCAAGTTGATAGAAAGGCTGCCATGTTCAATCAGTTCTCGAAAATGCTTCACTGGAATAAAAGGTCCCATGAGTGGGGGCGTTGGCACCACCTTCGTGTTTGAACAGGCCTTGTGATCTAAATGGCTGAGATTCTTCTCTCTCTTCCATCTGCAGCCAGGTGCTCCGCACCAGCATCCTCCTCTCTTTTCCAAAAACCTAGCTTTTACTACTGTCTGTAATCTCTCACAAAGCTATTCCATTTGTCCATTATAATCATAAGGGTTCAGTTTCTTCTTTTCCTTTTGAACTCTTGCATGTTTCACAAATGCTTGACCATACTCTAAGCAGATGGAGTCAAACTCCAGTTCTGAATATCTGGTATCAACAACGTTTAGCTCAAGCTTATGAGATCATCACTCCTCAGCATAATCATAGAAACTTTTCTGCAAAAAAAAGATGGATCCCCACAGTGTGCTTCAGGACAATAAAGGGAATTCGATCCTCTCCAATAAACTTTAGCCCACGAAAACATCCAATGAGCACATAGATCCAGCCATGACAATGACAAATTGCATCCAGAAAGCTACTGATAGTATGCATTATTATCTGACTAGGTGCACATATAATAATAGTGCGTTTATTAATCAATCTCTTTTCAGATACACGTGTTAATCGATTTCTTATCAATGCATTCGTTAAGAATGCCCTGGAGAAAACATTGAGACTGAATAAGACAAAATTAAGAGATAGAGAAAGAGAAGCTGTGTCTGAAAGCTAATACGGTGCGGACTTGACAATATTTTATCTCTTGCTGTCAGGATTACCACAATCCACTGTCGAATTCCTTTTGCATCAGCTTGTTAAACGTTTCAGACCTTACACAGTCTGTTCCTGGTCATATTGATAGATACGTTGTCTGGTTGCATAAGCTCGTTTGCGTGGATAATTAATCAACAAATAGTGATGGTTTAAATTCAAGAATTCTCATCGCTAGCGATTTGCAATATTCTTTATCACTGAAACAGGAAGGACCATCAATCTAAATCTAGATTCCCAAGCATTTATACAAGCATGGGGACCACCAAAGGATTATTAAACGTAGGGTGGTTGATTGGAACATTGACTAGGACTGCGTTGGCAAACTTTTCGTTTTTGTGGTTCGTGTAATTTTTGGGCTTGGAATTTGAGTTTCAGCGGATTCATATGAATTTGTCCTAGTCTATTACATCAAGGCATTGTTGTCCAGTGTTCAGATGGGCAAATTTTTTGTTTTTAACTTCCTTGGAGATCAAAACATGTAGAATGGTATACAAATGGAATTCCCCATCACATCTATAAATGAACACAAAGATAACAAAGAGAAAATGGGAAGGGGGGTATTGAAACAACGTGATGTACAAAAATGCTCAAGACATGTATACAGTAGCCGTATAGCAGCACTCAGTGCTGAAGGTGAGGTAATGGTACCTCTTTCGTCATATCAATTTCAATCGACATCTAAGGATCCTGTCTGTAGACTACAAGAGCAATCCATCCTTCACAATTTGCTCTAGAAAGGTTGCCACATCCGACATAGTAGGTCGCTCGTTAGGATTTTCTCTGACAGCCAATTCTGCTATCTCGGCAACTTTAAGTAGGGACTCCACATTTCTTGGAAAAGTGACATATCTATCAATTATGGCAGCTGCTTTGCCCTGTTTAATTAATGGCACAGCCCACTCAACAATATTTGGTGGAGTGTAATCTCTATCATAAGTTTTTCTTCCGCTAAGAATCTCTAGCAGTACAATTCCAAAGTTGTATACATCACTTTTCATATCTCCACAAATATCCTTCTCATTTGCTGAAAGAAGCCCAAAATCTGCGATTCGTGCTCCCCAGTCAGAATCCAAAAGGATGTTAGAAGTCTGGACATTATGATGGACAATTGGCGGTTCCGCTTCCATGTGAAGGTACTCAAGTCCCTTGGCAGCCTGCATTGAAATCTTCAACCTAAGGCTCCAATTCAGAGGAGAAAGCCCACCATGGAGGTGATCATGAAGCGTGCCATGGGGCATATACTCGTAGACAAGCAGCCTTTCCCCCATTTCTAAGCAGTAACCTAACAAGTTCACAATATTGCAATGCCGAACGTTGCAGAGGACCTCTAATTCCATGTCAAAATTCCTGCTATTAGAGTGAATTATCGTGGCAGCGTTTGCCCTCTTGACTGCAACCTGTCTCCCATCAGCTAAAACTGCTTTATAAACAAAACCATAGCTTCCTCGACCAAGCTCGTTGAACTCTCTGAATCCATTGGTGACATCTTTAAGCTCTGATAGTCGGAAAACTTGAGCCTTCCCAGGACAAGGAGTGATGGATTGAGGAAGGTAAGAATCATAAGCAACGTCAGCTTCGAGCTCTGGTTTGCCAATACAAGAATGAAACTGATTCTTTGTTCTTTCTTCGTTTCGGCTGGCGAATAAACATGGAAGAACACACCAGCTAACTAATATCAACAAGAAACCCAAAGCAGAAGAACCAATTATGACTGCTAATCTGCGCAAGTTGTGCCATTGCTTCTCATTATATGATTTCAACCCACAAACTTCCCAACAAGAATTGTTCTGGCAAAGAGAGCAAGCTGTGCATACTCTATCGGCATTCTCAGTACAAGGACTAGATAAGAAAAAACCTTCAGAACAATTTGACCCACATGGAGAACAAATCTTTAAGTCCTTTCTAACACACAAGCTTGTCAAGTCCGGTTCATTTAGAATGCTTGCATTGAAAACAAACTCTCCTTCACCGCAAGAACGAGGACTACATAGCCCTGGGCTGCACAACTCCAAAGGAGGACTGTAATCAGGTGGCAAAGTCCCGTTAGCAAACCAGCAATCAATAACCAAATCATCTTCCCTTATCCCACATGTCGTGAAATCAGACGAAGCAATCGCCATAAACCCAGAACCACCCTTTGGAATTAAAGATGAATTGAAACTTCCCCAACACTCGACTGCATGATTATCCTCCCTAATCCCACAGAAATGGTTAGTTCCAGCAGTGAGTGACACAAAACGGGTCCCAACGGGAGGGGTTGAATATGAATTAGTACTGTTGCCCCAACATTTGACATCATTAGACCCCTCCAAAATCCCACAAACGGAATCCCTCCCTGAAGCTAAAACCATGTAATTCTCGGAGAAATTCGAAACGCCGAACCTATCTTTGTTCGGTCCCCAACAAACAACCCCTCTTCCTCTAACCCCACCACAACTAAACTCTTCACCAGAAACAACCTTATCAAACACAAGATTACTAATAGATTGGCCATAAAAGACACCAGTGCCCTGTACAGAAGTTAAACTGTTATTAGCACCGTTGATAATATTCCAACAATCAATCGTGCCGGAATCATGATCAGAGTAATAAGATCCTCTAATAGCACACACATGATTCTTTCCTGCTGCAATATGAGAATAAGCTGTGTTCCTATAAACTGAAGGAACAAGATTTGGACCTGAATAAACTGAGCTCCAACAGAATACTTGTGAGTTATTAGCTAAGATTCCGCAAAGAAATCCTTCGCCGCCTGATAGAGCTGCTATGGGACCAATATTACTAAAATAAGCAGATGTAGAAGCTGAGGATGATGATGGTGGCAAAGTGTTATTCTTTATCCAACAAATAACATCTTGCTTGCCACTAGCGTCGATGGCGCAGAAGAAGGCATGGTCTCCAAATGCGGCAGAGATGGGGCCCATGGATCCAAACCCAGATGCAGAAATACAAGAGAGGAGGAGAAAGAGGCCGACGAAGCAAGATTGTAACTGCATAGTTTAAAGGAAGTAAAGCAGAGGATTTGGAGTACCAGGAATTTCATGAACCGAAATGATTGGAGGTTGCTTGCTAATTGAGATTTTAGCTGCTGCTGCTGGAGTTAGAGCTATAATTTTGATGATGATATTGTATTGTTGTAGATAATTAGAAGGGACGGGGAAAGAAACGCGGGTGTCGTCGCCATTTTTACAGTTTTGTTTGTTGGGAGACCAGACCGTTGTTACTTGAAAAACGTAACGAAATCCAAACTAGTCGTTGGAGTGGTCAATTTTAACAATTTAGCACCTGCCTTAGTATCTAGATTATTGACTCACGTGATGCCTGGAGGTCTGAGAAAAATCTTATTGAACACTAAAAAAAAAGGTTTAGGCGCCGCTAACGTGTTCCCTAAAAAAAGATTTTGACTAACAATTCAAAATTAAGTATATATTAGACAATATTTAAAAAAAATTAAAGTATGATATAATACTTTTATTTAATAATAAGATGCGAATATATTAAATTAATTATATCAATCTAGTTTGACTAGCAAAATTTACAAAAATAATCTTTTAAAAAAATATATTTGAAAGCTTAATACCTAATTAACTTAATAACTTAATGTTAACTACCAAAATTGATAGAAATTAATAGTTAATAAAAAATCAAGTAAACTTAAGTAATTCAACTAAAATTATGATGTAAGTCATGCAAGTAGTCATATTTAATAAAAAATTTATTTTATTGAAAGCTTAATACCTAATTAACTTAATGTTAACTATCAAAATTGATAGAAATTAGTAGTTAATAAAAAAATAAAGTAAATTTAAGTAATTCAACTAAAATTATGATGTAAGTCATGCAAGTAGTCAGATTTAATAAATTTTTTATTTTAAATATTGTTTTCTCATTTAATTATATAATAATAAAGTTTATAAAAAAACTTTATATGAAATATTTTTTTTAAATAAAAAAATCAAAACAAGCATGTGTGACTAAGATGGAAAAGGTAGATTATTGTTAATAAAAAAGTAAAATTGTTTTCTTAAAAAAAAATAAGGGGGGGAATGCATATATATTTTTTCCCTAAAAATATAATTTTTAAATCATTTCAATTCAATAAAAATCCACAAACCCAAAATCAAACTTTGTTAAATTTTTTTTCTGCTTGATTTAGATTTATTTATTTTTATGCAATATTGAGCTCTAAAAAACTACTATCAAACTTCTCTTATTGTATGGAACATATGGACATCAATAACAACTATTTGATAAGAATGATATTTTTTTTACTACACTAAAATTCAACTATGCTCTCTTTCTCCTTTCATAAATCAAGAATTGAAAAATAATACAAATAAAATTTTATACCAAGTTTGATATTTCAAATAAGTAAGCAACCCAAAAGGTATATTGTTGGAAAATGGATGACTAAATGGAATTTTTTGCACCAACTTTGAATCCATCATCCATTTCAACACTTTTTTTATATCCTCTTTCTTATAATTTTTTCTCTGGTCAACAAAAGAGAAGCAATGGGCCATCAATTTTGTAATTTAAGGACTTAATTATTGAAAATAAAATAAAATTAAGGATCAAAATAAGAAAATATATTCCAATCTACAGAGTAAGAAAGTGTACAATATAAAATTAATAGTATTTTTACTGGTGTTTTGTTAATAAATGAATAATAATAAAAGTAATCAAAATGAGACTTATGTTTACTTCGGACATAAAATATTAATCCAACTTCATCCAATCTAAAATCAAAAGGGTAGTCCATAACATGCATCAGTGTAAGGAAAATGTATTATAAAATTAAGAGTTGGTGTGTAAGTATATGTGCTTGTGCATGTGTATAAACATAAAGGATAGTTGGTAAGCTTATGAATTTTTATATTACTGTTAACGAGGAGAAATGGTTAACACGAATTTTTTTTTTAAAAAAAAAACCTATCTAATAGATAGCTCAATCTATCATTTGATAAGTTTTCAACATGGTTATTTATTTTAACAGGTATATTATATCCAGTTTTTCATTAAGTTTTTCTATCTATATTCACCAAATTATATATTTGTCTTTTAATATTACCCTTTTTATATAAGGATGTAATTGAAAATTTTCTTAAAATTGTTCAAGATATTTGATGAAATAAATTTTTTTAAAATTGTTCAACCATTAAGATTTTAATTTTTTCTCAAAAAAATAAAATTATGTTCTTGTGTAGTTTAAGGACATTTTGAGAATGAAAACAAATATAATTATTGTGCTAAACAATTCAAATTAAACAAAGAGAAAATATAAACATAAAAGAGCAAGAAAAGGCTAAGGATTCATAGATATTCTATTCTGAAGTTCTTATTTTAATATAAATAAAAAGAAATTATATATAGACTAAACTAAAAATGTTATTTTATTTTTAATAAATAAAATAAAATAAATATATTTTTTAACAGTTATATCAATTTAATTTTTTTAAATATATGTTAGAGTATTGGATATTGTATAGAGATGTATTCCCAATTATATAAATGTAGGTTCGAATAATTTACCCAAAAAATAATTAGTCTCTCACCGTTGAAACATTGAGTACTTAAAGAAATGGAGACAATATACGCGTAGCACGAAGTCCTAGTGGCATTTTTAGGAAAACACCTTATTAAAAAAAAAAAAAAACCCCTTAAAGGGAACGGATGCAGTTAACCTTGTGCATGAGACGCTGTCGTAAATTATAAACTTGTTGTAAATCCTTTGTTATTTAACATGTAGATAACTACGTGCCCCACTTGTCCGTCCCTTTCTGTATTTGTCACGCATCCTATTATTTAATGCTCCCACTGTTTATTTTCCTTCACATAGCAAAGATTTCAACTCAGATATAACATCCTACCAAACGTGAATTAATATATTGGAATGCTCTCATATTCTATTTTATATTTTTAAAAACTATAATGCTTGTGTGTTCACATGACCATCATGCTTTCCGAAACACGTATAAAGTTCTACAGAACTATATACCCCGTAATGTTTCTCTCCACAACTGTGCAGATGATGCTAAACCAGCGATCATTCCACGTGATTGCCTTGTCAGCTGTCTGGACTCTTCCTCTCAATGGCATTTCAAGGGGCTAGGGGAGTGAGGAAATCAAGGTCACCAGATGCGTTTCTTTTGTCAGGATGGTGGCCTGGGGCCCATTAGCTTGGAGGTACTAATTTTGCATGTGGTCTGTCTTGGAGGTACTAATTCATGGAAATGTCCTTTCCATTCTCATTTTGGTTTCGTAAATGAAAAATATTAGTATAACTATACCCTACGCATATTGCTTTTTAGCGTTAAAGAAAAAATCATTAATGGATTACTAACATGTTTTTGTTGCAATAAAGAAACTGAAAAGTAATCTTTAGGGGGGGAATTCAAGTAAGGAACTAATAAGTCAAATTATACGTTCCGAGGGTTGCCATTATAACTAATGTTATGTGTTTCCATTTCAATGTTAAACCCAGTGTGTAAGAGAAAACTCTAGAATATTAAGAATGAAAAAGTTATTATATATATTGCATTTTGTTTCTACACAATGGATGCAAATTGAATGATATAACACATTCTCATATTTTTTAGAGACTCTCTTTCTCTCTCTCTTTTTTTTTTGTTATTTAACATGATTAAATGATTGATTTTTTTCTTCAAGTACATGAGTGTCAAAGTAATAAATAACTTACAAGACCGAAGTCGAACAACAAGAAGATTAATTGTATAAATTATAGATAACAATAATATAATAACAACAATAACAACAATAATAGTAGCAATAACAACAACAACAACAACAACAACAACAATAAAGGAAATGAATTGAAAGGCATAAACAAGATATTAATGAAAACAAAACTTAAGCATTACAGAAAATACAAAGAGAGAATGCAAGAGCATGATCTTGATCTGAAAACCAAGATGCCTAAATATATGGTAAATATCTCCTTTTATTAGCCAAAATTTAGAACTATTGATTTGATAAATAATTGATGGGTGGGTGGCCATATTTTGACTTGATGACAATCTTTATCTTCTTGTCTGAATAAAACATCATTAATAATGTCAGAATTGAAACCAGTTATGCTCATGAAAGCTCTAGAAAATTGTCTCAGCTTTCAGGATTAAAAAAATAAGGTCATTTGGACTTCTAGAACTCAAGTTATGGGCTGAACACTGAACAATATTTGGGCTACAGGATAAATTCAGACTTCTTTGTTGTTGTTATAATTTGGACTTGAAAATAGCCTTTTTAAATCTTGGACTCCCCATGAAAGTTGTAGGCATTTATCTTGTCCATCCATATAAAATGGACCTAATTTGAGATCTACAGCTCTAGATAAGACCTAATTACCGAACAGTGTTTTAGTTTAGACTGTACCGGCATCTCTTTTCTAAGTTTGGCCCTCTATTTGTCCTTTCAATTTCAGTATTTAAACTTATCAATCAATTCTTTTATTTATATGATAGGCCTGTATTTAAAATGAACAGTTACCATAAATTAAAGGTGTCTTATATTAATAGATATGTTATTATAAAACATGCTTTAGTTAAGGAGTTAATGATACTTTAAGTGCAAAATGATGATATAAAACATTGATAAAAATACACTTTTAAGTACTAATCACACTCCCCTAACCAACTGATTACTAGTCCTAGTAATCAAAGCGTTAAAATAGAAAAATAATTTGTGAATTCCACAAAGCAAGGTATTTATCATTCAAGTTTCATTAATCTATCCAGATAAACAAACTCTCATTAAATTTATATATCTGCTCAATACCTCTTAAATAAGATAATAATAAACCTTCTTTTTGTGCTTAATAAATCAACACATAGTTATGGGGCTTTACTTGGAAGAAAACAAAATTTTTGTTCTAATGTTTAAGGTTAACTTTCTTAGATTGGAATTATTATTTTTTTTATAACTTCCTTGGGATGAGATTATTATTATTATTATTATTTTAATATATATACATATAACTTAAAACATGATGTATCTTTAACCCGTAACGAGCTTTCGACTAATGACTCCGTAACTAGGTGGTCTTAGAGCATTAGGTATTGAGACAACCCTACAAGTTTAGTAACTCGAGTTGCTGATATAGATACATAGATAGTGCAATGTTTGATTCCTTTAAGCTTTTCTTCTCAATCCAT